TAAATTAGGACTTCCTGGCAGCTGATCACTGGCACTCACAGCTTTCTTTACTACTGGGTTACCGGTAAAGACAGTCATTTTTCTGCCTTGTGCCTCCACATTTATGGATGAAGCTGGGCCCTGAGTAGCAATTTTGCAGTACCCATTAGGAGATGTAAGTTCAAGCTGTTGACTATGACTGTTGTCTGACACAGGGCACGAATGGACTGTAGTCTCCATGGAGACATTATTTCCTCTTACAGGTATATCAATATCCCTTTCCAACTTGCCAGACGGTGGAATTAATACACCCTCTCCATCAATTTCTGTATCAAGGGCTGGAGGGTAAGGAGTTTTAGTTTTAGACTTCAGACTTAAAAGGCGATTCTCTTCAGGCACCGGGGACCTAGGACTTTTGCTGCTGCTGGCTTCCTGTATCTTTCGTTGTTTGTCAGGGAGTATGAGAGAATTAATGCCAAGGAAATGTTCTTTCTCCTGTGAAACAGATGTTTTCTTCCACTGCTCCTGTGTTCTCCCTGGCAGTGCACTCCACTCTTTCTTACCATCGGGACTGCTGATGCCATGCAAAAATTGTTCTTGGATGTCACCTGCTCTTTGTATACATAATACATCTTCTTGGCCATTTTTATGGTTAAAGGACTGAGGTTCAACATCAAGTATTACAGAGATGTTTTCTCCAGTTTCCCTATCAAGATGGTTGATTTGTAATGTGTCACAAGGAGAACCTTCATTTATAGATTCTGAGGGAGAAAGTATGTATATATAAAATCAGTTAAGTCTAGTCCCAGGTAGAGCTGCAAGAGAATCAAAAACAGACTCACACAGAAACATATACATAGCCATTCATGTAGCATTTTTTTTCCGTCAAAAAGTGGCACTGGGCATGGTAGCCTCACACTAGTGAGGCTGAAGCAGGATTGCCATGAGTACAAAACCAGTTTGGGAAACATAAGTACCAGGCCATCTAGGGCTATGTGGCAAGATGCTACATAAAAAATCATAACTAGGGGCTGGAGAGATGGCTCAGTGGTTAAGAGCACTGCCTATTCTTCCAAAGGTCCTGAGTTCAGTTCTCAGCAACCACATGGTGGCTCACAACCATCTGTAATGAGATCTGGTGCCCTCTTCTGGCCTGCAATATTGTATACATAATAAATAAATTTTTAAAAAATCATAAAAATAAATTAAAAACAACAAAGTTAAAAAGCAGAAAATCAATAACTAAACACAAATTAAAAATAACTAAAAATTTAAAAGTCATTTTTCCAATATTAATTCATTGACTGTAGTTCCTAAAATTTGAGAAAAAGAGCAACTAAATAGACAATCCAACTTAAGACAAAGGGTATTGCTTGAATTGTATAATATATCAATTTTGTATTATTTAAGATGTCTACTGTTTATTATCCATGGGCTGTGAAAAATAACATCAGCCAATTGGGGAATGCATACAAAGTGAGTGTAAGTGAACAGGCTAATTTACCAGAGCGGCTTAGCTGTGGGGAGGCTTCCTGATGGGGCACACAATCTTCTATTGCTTTCTTAGAGTTCTTAACCTTCTCAGCTCTTTTGGCACGCTAGAGAAAACAAAAGCAGCCCAAAAAAAATCAATTCTCTTTAAAGCTTTATTACTGTCAGAACCTTTCTTCCCATTATGTGTGGTGGTACACACCTGAAATCTTAGTACCCAGAAGGCCACAGCAGGATTGTGGGTTTATTTATTTTATTATATTTTTATTTATTGCGTATGCATTTGCACACATACACTCAAATATCCCCATGTATGTGTGCCTTAGCGCTTCATTGGAAGTCAAAAGACAACTTTCCTAACACCACGTTGGTCACAGGCACTGAGCTCACTTTGTCGACCTTGGCAGCAAAAATGACTTCTGAACCATCTTGCTGGCCCCAGGTTTATGAGCTTAAGTCCACAATGGACTACGTAATGAGGCTCTGTTTCAAAACCAAAAACCAAACCACAACATCTTTTACATAGTTTGTATAACACCTTTATTTGCAGAATATGACTCACTCACCTTAAGACGAGCAAGTGTCTTGCTGTATTCCTTTTTCAAAAATGCTAACTTTTCCTTCAACTGGAAGAAAACATGAACAATTCTGAGCAGTGGTGAGGTGGAACCAGAGGGAAGGGAAGTAGTACCTAGCAGGACTGACAAGGGTGGTGCTCAGTGTGCAGCGCTCAGCAGCATCCCTCCTGTTAGACTCAGCACAGGGAAGGGCAGTTTCCCCAAACAGATCTTTTCCTTTCTGAGTTCCTACAGAGTACCAAGCTCTGAGGTTTCCTGTCACCTGGAGCAACTCATCCCTTTCCGTTCCCACTCAATCTGCAGGGTTATTTCCCTGGAGTAGATTTCTAGGTTATTACTCAAACTGTTTAGACACTTTCCCATTCCTCTGTGCTCATTTCAAAATATGATGGTGTCCATTTCCTTCTGCCTTTCAGTCACTTTGAGAAACAGGGAGGGATTGTTATCACAGTCAATCAACCAACCAATAAATGCTTTCTATCTATTAATGCCTCAGGAACTTATGGTTGTTAACACCTATCCCTCCCCCAGTGATACACACAGAGCCCGTTATCTCTCTCTGGTGCTTGAGGCACAAGGTGATTAAGACGATTTACTTGTAGTGAGGGATGCAGAGCGTAAGGAAGACAACAGGTAAGACTTCACCTGGTAACAGATACCTAGATCAACCTGGGTGATATGAGTAACTAGCTTCCTGAAGGTACTACTTCAGGGAATGTAGTCTTGGAGGCATTTCTGAGGGTAACCACTGGCACCTAGGTCTGAAGGAAGGAACTAATCTTGGGGGATGGAGGAATTGCAGTTATTTTAGGCACCACGAGCAGGAAAGCTTCACGGTGGACAGGGTTCATGTGTTTGAAAGTAATACAGAAGAAAGCCAGTGAAGGAGGCAGGAGCTGTCACTGCTGAGTTCCCAGCGAGGCACACAGAAGCTTTTGTAAATAAATTTAATTAGACTATGCCAAGTTATTAATCTCTCAAAGTTTAGATTCTTTGTCTTGGCTTCTGTGGTTGAAACCATTCTCTCAGCAGCAAAGCCACCCTCATCTTTCTGCCCTTTAGGAACCTTAAAGTGGTATCCATCTTTCAGACAATGTGGGGCTGGAGATGCATCTGCCTTGGTGGAGTGCTCATCCAGCACGGCAAAGTCCTGGCTCTGATCCTCAGCACTGCATAGCCCCAGGTGTGCGACGAACACCTGTAACCCCAGCACTTGGGAGGTAGAGAGGAAGATCAGGAGTCTAGGTCGTCCTTAGCTACCTAGGAAGTGCAAGACTAGCTTGGGATAGGAGACCCCCTTTTAACAACAACAACCTCGAAAACAAAAGAGCAGCCAACAAAGGTTGCAAACAATGCTAACTTTTCTGCATCAATCACTTCCCCCTGCTCAGCTCAGTTTCCAGAGCAGTGTGTGGACTCCAGCACTAAAGTCACTCCAGTCCCCATCCATCTTCAGTCACACGATGATAATAATAACTGCTGATACTTTCGTAACATGATTTTTGTGACTTTAATGTCCATTACCTCGATTACATTCACAATGGACCCTAACAAACAGACTGTATATAACCACCCTTACTTTACAGATATGTAAAATGAACACAGAATAAACATTTCTCCAGGATGCTGCCATTTATAACTGCTCCATTCAACACCCATAGGAAGGGCCTGGAGCAGCTGTTCTCAACCTATGCGTGAAGACCCCTGGGTGGTAGAATGACCCCTTGATAGGGGTCGCCTAAGGCCACCGGAAAACACAGATATTTATATTACAATCCATGACAGTAGCAAAGTTACAGTTAGGAAGCAGCAACAAAAACAATTTCGTGGTTGGTGGTCACCACAGTATGAGGAACTACATTAAAGGGTCACAGCATTAGGAAAGTTGAGAACCACTGTCTGTGCCCTCAGTCTCTATGGCTGTCCTCAATCTTATCAATCCGTGGGACTAATCTTGTTTACCTGTAAACAATCTTTATCACTGGTAGAAGGTTAAGACGGGACAGGAGGACAAATTGAATTCTCTTTTGCGTGGCAAGCACAAGAATCTACAATCTTTTAAGTCTTGTGGAAGAGTAACATATTGAGTCCTAATGGAATGAGAGCACTGCGAAACCACAGACTACTATATTACACTAATATGCATACACACATAATTCGTTATATGTAATACTTATATTTCTCCTTCCCATTGTCCTGGTCCAACATGGGTCTTAAACACAGAGAAACAGAAGGTGCAGAACCAGCTAGAGCACACACTGTGAACACCTCCCTCTCCAATAGTACCTACTACTTTTGGAGGTCAAGATCCAATCACATTGCAAGGACGAAAATGTCTGTATGTACAAAACTGTTGGAAGACTTACGTCAGGGGGCAAGAGTGGGAAAGGCGGAGGGTGTCAAGGGGGTCTTTAGGTTTACCTCTATTTAAAGTTTTACACCTAACACTTATGCAAGTTATGTGCCGCTAATTTGCATTTGAAGCTTCGCTACGTGGGCAGTGCGTGCACTAGTCTCAACGACTTCTCGTGGAGGGCAGGCCGGGGGACTTTGCCTCCCTCGGATTCAGGAGCCAGGGCTTGAAGTCCTGGGACGCGGGGTTAGAACCCTGGGTCACCCTTCCCGCAACCCGGGCACCTTTTCCTTCTCCGCACAGCTGAGAGACTTCCCGGAAAGCTCTTCCATCCGGATGGGAGCAAAGCGCAGGGAGCAGCCGTCGGCAGCCTGAGGCCTGTGGTCAAGCGGACCCCGCTGGGCCTTCCTGGACCCAGGAGGAATTCCGGGGAGGAATGAGGACCTTGCCTGCTCCTTGCGCGTGACTAGCGGGCCCACCTGGATCCCGCGCGCTCCCCAGGCTGGCCAATTAAAACCGCCGCTCGCTCTGCGCAGGCGTAGCTGGAGAGCGCCGCGCGACTGCGCGGGGCTGCCTAGTGGAAAGTCGAGCAGTCGATGAGAGGCCAGGGCGCGGATAGCGGAAGTGGACCGGCAGCCGGAAGTAGCTGGAATCCCAGTCGGATTGAGCGACTGACAGGATCCTGAGTTTCGAAGGGAAGGAGGCAGCCATGGAATTGGGCGAGCTGCTGTACAACAAGTCCGAATACATTGAGACGGTGAGCCTGTACAGACCCTGTTCCCGCTGGTAGCCCAGCGGCCCCTGGACGACAAGACGACCGTCCCTCCTGTCCCTGCTTCACCCGGTCCTGCTCTCTCAGTCTGTTCCTTGGGGATGACGTAGAGAAGCTTCGTGTTTCCTCTGATTTTATTATTTAGTCCGTGCATGCATGAATTAGGCGCTCTCCTCCTTCCCACCCTCCGTCCGTCCGTCTCACCCGCCCCCCGTATGCATATATATCGATGTGTGGGCGTATACACACATATCTGGTTTTCCTGTAGTGATAATGTCTTCCGGAATACACAATACAGTTTGTTCGTTCTGGTATTCGTTACAGTTTCAGGGTTTAAGCACCTTTAAAAATAATATTTCACAGTCTACTAACGTGTTAAAAGTTATTGTTTCTAGTCGTCAACTCATGATAACACGTGAAAAGTGCTGAAAACACGCAAGTGCCGCTATTAGGGTTACTCTTTATTTTTTTCTGTATGTCCTTCCAACCCTGTGGTCATGGGAAAGTCGTTTTCCTCATTTAGGGCTGTGAAACCAGAGAATAGAACTGGGGTTTGAATGCGCATTAGATACAAATCTATAATTCTTTTACTGAACTTTTAGTTCCTAGTCCACCCTTGCTCCTTTGAAATATTGGATTCTGTCCATCTTACATGTTTTGGGGTACTTAGCACTCTTAGCATTGTGTTATACCCCAGCCTTCCCTCCCTTTCCTACTCTCTCTCTCTCTCTCTCTCTCTCTCTTCCTTCTCTAATTTGTTTTTGTGATGGAGTCTCACTTTGCTGTCCACTCTGCAAACCCCAAATTCATAATCCTCCTGCCAAGAGCTGGGACAGTAGGGGTGCAGTACCACACTCAGCCCTCATCCCGTTTTAGACTGCACTCCGTTTATAGTAATTGTCTCTGCAGTGCGAGCTTTCTTGATGGAAATGGTAGCCCAGAAATCCCAGCTTTTTCACTCCAGATTTCTCTTAACCTTTAGGCGTCTGGGAACAAAGTTAGCCGCCAGTCTGTTTTGTGCGGAAGCCAGAACATCGTTCTCAACGGCAAGGTAAAGTACACTGGCAGCTCCGGAGTGCATACCTTTGCTCGTCACCATAGCAGCGGGGTTATAAGATGGTGCTGTGTCTCCAGTTTGTTGTACATTTCCAGTTCTCTTTCTTTGTTTTATTTTTTTCTCCAAATTGGATGTATTGAATGAACAAAAGTGATAGATAGGGAGAAGCTAGGGAATCAGAAACGGGTGATTAGATGGGGACTAGAGATGTGTTAAGGAAGAAGGGTGGGGAGAGCAGTGTTAACACATGAGATGTAAAGAGGAAGGCACAATAGACAAAGGGCATGGGCAAATAGAGCAAGGGAGGGGGCTGGAGAGATGGCTCAGAGGTTAAGAGCACTGGCTGTATTTCCAGAGGTCCTGAGTTCAATTCCCAGCAACCACATGGTGGCTCTCAACCATCTGTAATGAGATCTGATGCCCTCTTCTGGCCTGCACGTGTACGTGCAGGCAGAACTCTGTATACATATAAATAAATAATAATATTTTGGAAAAAAATAGAGCAAGGGAGGAGTGAAAGGGGAGGAATTTCATCTAAACTGAACATGAACTGTTTTTTGCCTTTTTCTTCAATATTGTATTTACACTGAATTAAATATTATGAATAAAAAGTGTTGGTGTGGGGGAAGGAACAGAATCCTTTTATGCTTGAACAAAATACAATGGCCCATTTTCTGCTGTGTTATATTGTGCCCAGGACTACTGGACATTAAACCTAAAAAGGCAATAAACTATTTTAAAGCAGAAGTTAGGGAGATGCTTGCCTGTAATCTCAGCACTTGGGGAGATGATCGCACCAAGTTTCAGGTTACCTTTGACTACATAGGTGTTGCGGGAGCTCCTTCTGCTCCTTCAGCCAATAGCCGCTGAGATACCAGCCTACTGGGGCGTGGTCTCTCTCCCCCTTTTGTTTAAGTATGGCACCCAATGTGGGGTGCCAATTGAAGGCGTAAGTCACAAACAATCCCACACCAGTTTGGAATTTGGGCTGGTATCTCAGTGGCTATTGACCGAAGGAGCGGAAGGAGCTCCCACAACACATAGCAAGGTCCAGATCATCCTCAGAGACTTAATGAGAGAAACTGTCTCAAAACAAAGTAAGTGGGGAACATACAACCAACATATGCGGACATTGTTATTGCTGAGAGTGTAGACCTATATACCAAAGCTTCTGATATATTTCTAAAGGGACTGGAATGACAGCCACATGTGGTGGCACGGCCTGTGTGAAAGCAGATAGGGCAGTCCCTGACCAAGTCTCCAAGGCTCAGAGGACCTCAGGTGAATCTGCGTGACTCTAAACACGTAGTTTTCAACCTGTGGATAGCAAGTCAGATACTTACCTTACGATTCATAATAGTACAAAATTCCAGTTATGAAGTAGATGAAGTAGCAATGAAATAATTTTATGTTTGGGGTCACCACAACATGAGGAACTGTACTAAAGGGTTACACAGTGTTAGAAAGGTTGAGATCCACTGCTCTACATAGATAATGTTACCTAGCGTGTTCACTCAGTGAGTCATATTTGTGGAGCATTGGGATCAAAACTTACATTGTTTTGCAGTCAATCCGAAGCCAGTTCTCCTTTCACCGTACAGTTGCTACTTTTATAGAACATTTGGTGGCACGAACCACAGCATAATGCTCAGTGTCCTGTTGATTATCTTTTTATGTTACTTTTAGGCTACACTGGTAATTTTTAAAACGTGTTTTGCTTTCTAGACCATTGTAATGAATGACTGTATCATCCGAGGGGATCTGGCAAACGTGAGAGTTGGACGGCACTGTGTTGTAAAAAGCCGTAGTGTCATCAGGCCACCGTTCAAGAAATTCAGTAAAGGGTATGTGATTAATTTCCAGTCCCAGGCTCCACACTGCTCCTGGTGATACTGTCCATGTCTTTAGATGTATAATGAGAAGGGCTATCCTGTTTGGTGGGGTGCTGAATGAGAGTTCCCAATAATAAACACTGCTCTGGGTGGTTGTAGCCTTGTTCATGTTTGGTTGTCAGAACTAGAATAGTCCCTATGAGAGATAGAGAAATGAAGCTTAAATAGTAAAGCTTAAAGAGTAAAAGGTGAAGGTCATATCAGAATCAGATAATGCTAAGATATTTAGGTTTCTAATTTAAAATTAAAGAACTCTCAGAACTGATGTAGCCTATAGTTCATAAAATGTGGGTCATGACCCTGTATTGTCTGCATAACTGAGTGTGGAAGACTGTGGGAAAAATTGGCCACAATGAAAGGTTTCTAAATATGCAACAACCAAAAATTAATTTGAAATGAAGTATATAGTGAACCCAAAGTTCCTGACAGTGCTTCCCATGTGGCAGGACTGCAGTCTCGGTTTTGCGCACAGCATGTGCATTGCACTGTACGTGATGTCATACAAGCCACACCAATGAATACCGCCTGAAACACTTCTGCTCAGGCTTAGTCTACTGTATGTTATAAATTCTAAAGTCTTTACTGAACATACTAAGTGTCTTAGTTAGGGTTTCTATTTCTGTGATCAATCACCTTGACCAAAAAGCAAGTTGTGGGGGAAAGGGTTTATTTGGCTTACTCTTCCACATTGCCGCTCATCACTGAAGGAAGTTAGGACAGGAACTCAAATGGCAGGATCTTGGAGACAGGAGCTAATAATACAGAGGCCATAGAGGGATGCTGCTTCTGACTTGCTTCCCATGACTTGCTCAGCCTGCTTTTTTATAGAATCCAGGACCACCAGTCCAGTGATGGCACCACCCACTGTGAACTGGGCCTCCCCCATTGGTTACTAATTGAGAAAATGCCTTACAGCTGGATATCGTGGAGGCATTTCTTTAACTGAGGCTATTTTCTCTCTGATGACTCTAACTTGTGTCAAGTTGACACATAAAATTGGCCAATATAATATGTTTGCTATTAGAAAAACATAATGGTTTAATTACTGAAAATAAACTTTTAATATTTTTCTATAGTTATCCCTTAACGTGTAAATATAAAATTAGTATATATTTCTATTTTATTTTAGAATGTTGGGTTTTGAGACTGGAGAGATGGCTCAGCAGTTAAGAGTACCACTGCTCTTGCAAAGGACCTGGGTGATTTACAGCTGTGTATCATTCTAAGGGACTAGTTCTTTCTTCTGGCCTCCTTGGACTTTGGTGTGCATGTGGTGTACATCAGCTCATGCAAACAAATACACATATAAACTCCGTGGTTACAGGTGCTTACTGCTCTGTCAGAGGACCAAGTAAGTTCAGATACCAGCATCCACATCAGGTGGCCTATACCTCCAGCGCCAAGGGATCCACTGCTCCCTCCTGACCTCTATAGGTACCCAGAAACATACAAATAAAATAAGGCTTTAACAAAAACAAGTTCTATTAAATGCTATTATAGAAGCATTGTCAGTAATATTTTAGGACTCACAGAAAATGAAATGATGTTAGATGTTTGGAGGAAGCCTGATAACTCCTGTTCAGTCTTGATTTAAATATAATCTTATTTTGTTTTTTCTTTCCCCAAGATAGACTTTCACTATGTAGCTCTGGCTGTCCTGGAACTCACAGAGATCTATGAGACCAGGCTGGTTTTGAACTCACTGATCTGTCTCTGCCTCCCAAGTGCTAGGATTAAAGGTGTGAGCCACCACATCTGGCTTTAAATTTCACTCTCCAGTAGACTTTCCCAAAACCCCTGTTATGTATTGGCACAGCCTTCTATCACAGCTGTAACTAATTATGTGTATAGTCCTTTACTTGATCTGTTTTCTTCTCTTGATTGTACACTCTTGGTGCAGCAGATCTGTTTTGCTTACATTGTATCCCCAGTTCCTAGCAGAGAGTCTGGCACACAGTAAATATGGCAGACGGTTAAAGTTTAAGAATGTTGGGAACTAAAATGATTTTTTTAAGATCAGAGAATGTAGAGTCCTTGTATAGCATACATAAGGCCCTAGGTTCAGTCCCAGCACTATATGAACAGGTATGATGGCACACAGCTCTAGTTCAGAGCCAGAAGGATCAGATGTTCAGGTCATCTTCTGCTACATAGCAAATTTAAGACCAGGTGAGCTAAATGAAACCGTGTTCTCTTCCCTAGCTCTCCAGGTTTTTTTTGTTTTTGTTGTTTTATTTTGTTTTTGGTTATTGTTGTGGTTGTTCTTTGCTCTGGTTTGAGCACCAAAACGGATAGCCTATGAACTTGTCAGTACTGGAAACAGGTTACTGAACATGTCTGTGAGCTTTGTCAAGGAAAGCAGGAATGGGTCAGTACCCACATTTTAATTTGCTTTGAAGATTCTACTCCTGCTTTACTGTTTCCTTGTACAACACAGTAATTCTGATTCACTTGTACAACACAGTGACCTGATTCCTTGGTTTTAATATTTGGAATTTCAGTGACCTGGGGATTCTTTTCTTGCAGGGAATAGTCTTATTAACATGACAAAAACTGAGGGTATGGTACATGCTTGTAATCCCACTGCTCAGGAAGCTAAGCCAGGAGGATCAAAGGTTTATGGCCATCTTAGACTATATGATAAATTCTGGGTCAGCCTGGGTAACATAGGAAGAGTCTGGACAGACGGTGGTGGCGCACACCTTTAATCCCTACACTTGGAAGGCAGAAGCAGGCAGATCTCTGTGAGTTCAAGGACAGCCTGGTCTACAGAGCTAGTTCCAGGACATCTAGGACTATTACACCAAGAAATCCTATTTCAAAAAACCAAAAAAAAAAAAAAAAAAAAAAAAAGAGTGTCTGTAAAGGCTGGACCTGGTGACAAATGTTTATAATCCCAGAGCTTCAGAGACAGAGGGGCAAGAGGATCTCTCAGTGAGTTTAAAGCCAGCCTGCTGCCGCCGGGCGGTGGTGGTGCACGCCTTTAATCCCAGCACTCGGGAGGCAGAGGCAGGCGGATCTCTGTGAGTTCGAGGCCAGCCTGGTCTGCAGGAGCTAGTTCCAGGACAGGCACCAAAGCTTCAGAGAAACCCTGTCTCGAAAAACCAAAATAAATAAATAAATAAATAAATAAATAAATAAATAAAGCCAGCCTGCTCTACATAGCAAGTTCTAGGATAGTCAGGACTACAAAGAGAAATCCTGTCTCAAAAAACAAGGTTCTATCTGTAAGTAAATATATGTTGAGATTATTATCTGTAGTTCTGTAAACCTTAACCCAAACTCCAGTACCTTGACCTTTTCTTGTTTGTCTTCTTTTCCTTTTTAGTGTTGCATTCTTTCCTCTCCATATTGGGGACCATGTCTTTATTGAGGAAGACTGTGTGGTCAACGCTGCTCAGATCGGTTCCTATGTTCATGTTGGGAAGAACTGTGTGATTGTGAGTATGTGACTCACTCAGATAAGCAGCATCACTTCCTCTCTGTCATCCTTTCCCGCCCACTCTGTGGGAATCTGTCCTTGTAATGGGGGGCATTCTATTTTCTTGGGGTTTTGTTTTTTCTTACTAGATTTGGAGGGTTTTTTTTTCATTTTTTTTACAAGCATTAATAATAATGGCTAGTGGGCTGGGGATCTAACTCACTGGTTTATGTAGCTTGTATGAGGTTCTGGATTTGATTCTTCAACACTGCAAAGACATAATCACACACCCAAAATAAAACCAAGTACAAATGGCTAGCCTTTATTGAACTTTTTCCATATGATGTTAAATATGGGGATACACACACACACACACACATGGGGCTCTTGGGGCTCAGAAGATAACTCGGTTGATAAGGTATCAGTCATGTAAAGTGAGAATCTAAATTTGGTCCCTAGGACCCATATAAAGAGCCAGAGTGATATCACACACTTCTAACTGACCACTGGGGAGGCAGAAACAGGCAGACCCCTGGGTCTCACTGTCTGGCCAGCCAGTCTTCTTGGTAAACACCAGATCAATGAGAGATCCTGCCCCCGAAAAAAACAAGGTACCTGGTGCCTGAGGACCAACACTAGAGGTTGACCTCTGGCCTCCAGATATGATCACATACATGTCGTCATAGTAAACGTATATGCACACAAAACCTTTTCCCTCAGTCACTTCATTTTAGATTTATAACCATAGAAGACTGTTGATACTGTTGTTATTCCTGTTTGCTGAAGAGAGGATTGAGAACCATAGAGACTAAGGAATTTGACAGAGGGAGTCTGTGGTAGAGCTAGGATTTATATACATGTCATTTGAATGGTTGTGCTGCCGCATGGGCTCTTTGTTGCCTTGCTTCACCAGGACAGGCTCCAAAGCTACAGAGAAACCCTGTCTTGAAAAACAAAAAACAAAAACAACAACAACAACAAAAAAACTTGCAGTATGATAAGGATGAAGGATATGATGGACAGAAGACAGTATAGTTTGGTCATTTCAGGGGAGGGATTGTTATACGCAAGAGTCTGTTAGGGGACTGCAGGGCACAGACAGGCCTCTAGTTCAGTGTCTCTATTGTTAGGGGACTGCAGGGCACAGACAGGCCTCTAGTTTTGGTCCATAGTAGCACAGGCATAAGTTTGTTTTATACAACCAGGATTTGGGTTTCTTGCTGTTTGGTAGATGAAGAGTTTGGTATCTGTTGGGGTTTCTGAGAATCATGTTCTAGTTGAGAATGTTAATAACCTAAATTTGTCTACCTAAAGTCTAGAGAAGATGTTCCCTGTAATTAGATGTGTACCTCAGACTGGAAGTATAGTTTAAAAAAAAAAAAGCCATATTCTCCGTCCCCAAATTGCAGAGCCAACTCCCTGCCCGAGATAAGCATCAGATGTTGAAGTATCCAAACCCATGCAGTTCACGTTCTAAGAGCCACAAGGACTCAGCATGGGTGGTCAGTGCAGGAAAGACTCACGTTGATGTGAAAACAATCCTAATTGGACTTTACTCAGAGGTGGGGAATGATTATTTTGCCAAAGGAATTCTTTAATATATGTAGAGACAACGTTTTTGTTCTGTTTCATGTTAAAGAAAGGGAATAAGGGACTGGAGAGAAAGGTCAGAGTACTGGCTCCTCTTCCAGAGGTCCTAAGTTCAATTTCCAGCACCCACATGTGTCTCACAGCCATCTAGAGTGGGATCTGGTACCCTTTTTTTTGTCCTGAAGACAGAATTCCATATACATGATAAATAAATAAATCTTTTTTTTAAAAAAAGAAGGGGCCAGGCAGTGGTGGCGCACGCCTTTAATCCCAGCACTTGGGAGGCAGAGACAGGTGGTTCTCTGTGAGTTCAAGGACATCCTGGTCTACAAGAGCTACTGACAGGACAGACTCTAAAACTACAGTGAAACCCTGTCTTGAAAAACCAAAAAAAAGGTGTCGGGGGGCGGGGGAATGATGAAACATTAATCTCAAATAGAAGAAAGGAAAGTAGTGATTAAAGAAAGACTAGAAGGAGATTGAGCAGGGCGGTGGTGGCGCACTCCTTTAATCCCAGCACTCGGGAGGCACAGGCAGGCGGATCTCTGTGAGTTCGAGGCCAGCCTGGTCTACAAGGGCTAGTTCCAGGACAGAGAAACCCTGTCTCGAAAAAATTAAAAAAAAAAAAAAAGATTGAATAAGGACACTAAAATACAGCTTAGTAAGGAAGACATTCTAGTAGAGTAGCCACAGTTCACAACAACCTACTGTATACTGAAGAATTTGAAGAGAGGCATTTGAATACTCAAAATGTGAAGTGATAAGACAGTCAAAATTCTAATTGCATTGATTTGATCAGCACATGTTGTGTACTGAAGTATCATACCGTAACTTACAAATACAGTTATTACATACTGATTATTACATATTGCTCTTAGAAATTGAACCTAGGGCCTTGTGTGTGCCAGGCAAACATTCTATCCTGAGCTACTCTTTTTTTTTTTTTTTTTTTTTTTTTTGGTTTTTCGAGACAGGGTTTCTCTGTGATTTTGGAGCCTGTCCTGGAACTAGCTCTTGTAGACCAGGCTGGTCTCGAACTCACAGAGATCCGCCTGCCTCTGCCTCCCGAGTGCTGGGATTAAAGGCGTGCGCCACCACCGCCCGGCCTGAGCTACTCTTAAAACATATTTGTTTTAATTTTTAGGACAGGGATTGTCTAAGTTGCTTGGTCTAACCTGAACTTGGTGTGGCCTAGACTGGCCTTAAACTTGTGCCACTGTTGCCCCAGCCTTCCGAGTAGTTGGGTTATACGTTTGTACCACCTGGCGAGATACTCTCCTTTTTATACCTCTTTTCAGAATATTACTTGATGACCTCGTCATTGTTCAGTGTGAGCAGTACTTGTTAGCCCTTGACACATTTTAAAGTAGACTCTGAGAGCTAAAGCCTGACTGCCCCCATAGCACACTGACTTTCTAGAGTGTCTTCTGTGGCAGCCTAATGATGGGCTTGCTGTGTAAATCAGAATTGTCATATGCCGGGAGGAAAAGCTTAGCAAGCAATATCCTAGGCATTACGGTGCTGTCAGCTTTATGCTTGTTACTGGACTGGTGGCATTACTGTTGGTTTGGCTTTATATCCTGCTTCTAGGTGAGGAAACCAAGGCTCAGAGATGCAAATTTGTTTTTGTTTTGAGACAGGTTCTCATTAGTAGCTGGCCTGGAATGTATAGACTAGGTTTACCTGGAACTCTCAGCTTGCCTGTGCTGGGATTAAAGAAGGCTGCTACCATTTCTGGTGGTAGAAGCTTTTTAAAAAAAAATTCATTTAGGGAGGCTGGAGAGATGGCTCAGCAGTTTAGAACACTGGCTCTTTACACATCTGCATTCTCAGCCAGATATTTTTCATCTGGTTGTCTAATCTCATTTCTCCTATCTTGTGTTTTACTACCCAGATTTTTGTCAAATTGTTTTTATCAGGACATAGGAGAATTTACAAGCCCTAGTAAAGAAAGCTTTAGGAGCTCAGGGGGTAGTGTTTTCTATGTTAAGGCAAAGGATCTGAGAGTAAGTCTCCAGCACCCATATAAAACCTGGGCATACCCCAGTTCTGGAGAGTGAAAGCTCTTGTGTCAGAAAATAAGGTTGAAAATTACCACTTTCCTGATTAAAAAAACAACTTCTGACCTCCACATGGATATGCATGGATGAGCACACTCACATACACACAATAAAAAAAAAAATAGTTAATAAAGAGTGAAACTTTGAGCCAGCCGGTGGTGGCACAGGCTTTAAATCCCAGCACTTGAGAGACAGAGGCAGGCACATCTCTGAGTTTGAAGCTAGACTAGTTTATGGAGTGAGTTCCGGGACAGCCAGGGCTACACAGAGAAACCCTGTCTTACAAAACAAAACAAAACAAACAAACAAATAAGAATAAACCTTGATCTGTTCAGTGAGTATCCTAAGGCATAGGTTTAAACCATATATGTGTGTGTGTGTGTGTGTGTGTGTGTGTGTGTGTGTGTGTGTGTATTCCCTTAACCTAACAAATAAATGAGTTTTCCCATGGCACATTTCTTGCCTTTAAAATGCTGTGAATTATAGAAGAATTGAAAAAAATGTTACCACTGTATAAAGTTAATCATAGTTGAAATATTCAAATAGCTATCTCCCATGGAAAAACAAGTTGACTAATACCTTCTACTGAAGAAAATTTGTCCAGAGAACAGACAAGTAGCCCTTAAACTGGCAGGTATCCAGTCAGATGTATTAGATTAGCTAATATAAACTGAGAGTCCAGAAGTAGATCCTAATTTCATGCTCACATGATCCAACGGCTCATCTGACACCATGAAGAGAGGTAACTTCCTGGCAAGGATAAAATGTGGTGGGCATCCATCCTGTCTTCTAAATTCTAAAGTGCTCAACCCAGGTTGAGGTTTATTAGACTAAGTTGGCTCATATGCCAGTTCCCCAAACCTGTCACTGGTCAAGCATGGAGTCTGTGTGTGGGCTAGAGATAAATAAAGTGTGTGGACCAAGATGGGGTGGGTAGTGCCAATGCAAAAAGATTTCTATGACCAGAAGAAAAGACATCAAAACAACAGATGTCACTAGGTCAAATAGAAGAGAAAAATGGAACTCTCAGAAGACAGAGGTTGGCCTAGTGTCTAATGCCTAAGGCAACCTATACTCTCTGTAGCATACATCCCTCCCTCCTGTGTATACCTGTGCATACACACACACCTACATACACTCACAAACCCTTTACTCCTTCTTGTCAGATTCCACTTGAAGTATATAATTTCAACCAAACACCCCTGTCGTTGTCTTTGGCTCCCTTGCTATTATAAGATACCATGAATGCTTGGGTATGATGGTGCTTGGCATTAATGCTAACACTCTGGAGGTAAAAGCAGGCAGATCTCTGCGTTCAAGGCTAGCCTGGTCTACATAGCAAATTCCAGGCCAAGTAGGACTACAATAGTTAGACACTGTCATAAAAATACTATGGACAGAGAAAATATAGACCAGCCTTCCACGCCGAGTACTAAAAAAGCTTTACTCCCATGTCTTGGTCAATCCCTATTAATAACATTTTAATTTCAGGGTCGCCGGTGTGTCTTGAAAGACTGCTGCAAAATTCTTGACAATACAGTATTACCTCCAGAAACTGTGGTCCCACCATTTACCGTCTTCTCAGGCTGTCCAGGTAATGTTGATGTTAATGTCTATTTCAGCCTCCTTAAAACTCTTTTCCATTACTAAAGTAATCCATGCGACTTCTGATTCTGATATGTGATTAGCAACAAAACACTTAGAAAAGGCATGCAAATAAGTTGCTTTTGGTGGTGGTGGTGGTGGTATTTGTTTTTTGAGATGGGGTCTCCTTTGTGTAACCTTGGCTGGTCTGAAATTCACTTCATAGACTAGGCTGCCCTTGAATTCACAGAGATCAGCCTGCATGCACCTCCTAGTTCTCAGATAAAAGGCGTGCACCACCATACCCAGCGAACAAACTGTGTTTTGAATGAATAACTGGATTTACAAGGAAAAAAGGAAATTATCAGAAGTAAGAGGAAATGAGTCCCAAGCTAGAAGACTGCAGGTGTTAAATGCTGACTTCATAATAGAATGATTAAAATGTAGTAGATAAAGCCTTAGATCCACACGTGGCAGAGAGATTCTCAAATACCTTTGAAGGGTTTTCCCTCAAGGTTGCTATAGGGACTGGAAAGATGGCTCAGTGGTTAAAAGCACTGGATGCTCTTCCACGGGACCTGGGTTCAATTCCCTACACCCACATGGCAGTTCAACTTTCTCTAAGTCTAGTTCCATGAAATTCAACTCCCTTTTATGGCCTCTGCAGTCACCAGGCACATACAAGGTAAACAGACATACATGCAGGCAAAATACCCATACACATAAAAATAAATAAATAACATCTAGGAAAAAAGGTTGCTGTGGAACACATCTGCCATTAGCACATAGTAAGGACAAAGAAACATTTCTTTCTTGGCCTGGGCTCTGAGTAGACAAAGGGGAAGGAGAAAAATCTCTTTAGAGATATGGCATGTATGCTTCATCTTCTTAATGCATTCAGGTTCCTTAGTACCAGCTTCTATGGTCATTGAACACTGATGTCAGAAGACAAGGAACCGTCCTGGTGTTTCAGGTTGAATTAATAAAGACTATCTTTGAAAAGGCCCAGGTGCATAGAACCGTCCAGGTATCTGAATATGTGAAAACAGACTGGAAGGTGGGCTGTCCCCAGTGTCAAAGCCTTGTCCAGCTCCAGAGACCCCTCATTTAGAGCCCAAAGCTTCTTGCACCATAACAAGGTATTTTTTGTTTTTCTTTTGAGTAGTTTCACAAATATATGCCAGACATTAGGGTACTTTTTTGGCACTTCCTTCTTTGAATTCAGACATGTGGGTTTGCAAGGAATCTGGCACATTTGTGATGGCTACATGAGATAAAATTGATCATGAAGCAAAAAGAAATGGAAACCAGGATCAATCTTGATCAGAAGCCACAAGCTCTGATGCTGTTGCAGCCAGGCAGATAATGTAGTAATTGAAGTCATAGCTCATCGTGGCTGTTTAACATGGCAACTGAGAGCATGAAATCTGATGTTTAAGGAACAGCTAAAAATGGAAATTTATGTGGTATCTCTGAATTTTTAAGGTGATCTAATTATTACTGTGATGCTTAGTGGCTGGAGAGATGGCTCAGCTAGTAAGAACACTTGTTTCTCTTGCAAAGGACCTGGGTTTGATTCCAAGCACCCACATGACTCACAGCCATCCATAAACCCACTTCCAGGGGATCCAAAGCCCACTTCTGACTTGGGCAGCAGGCATGCACATGGTGCACAAACATACATGCAGGCAAAATATTCAAACACAAAAGAACAAAAGAAGTTTTTTGAGCCAGTTGTGCTAGCATATATCTTTATCTCAGCACTCAGGAGTTTGAAGCCAGTCTGGTGTGCATGGTAAGTTCCAGGACAGCCAGGACTACATAGAGTCTCTGACTCAGATGAACAAAACAAAACAAAAAAAAATACTGTGAAGTTTAAATATGTTTACACGCCTAACACGTAGCTTTTAATTATAGAGTATGAGAATTTTACAAAGTTGGTTTTTTATATATACTTTACATTTTGTATAAGTGTATAAAATATCTGTGTTTGTAGGTTTGAATGGAAAATGTAGGTATTTGAAACTGCACCTGTATTAATGAAACTGCTCAGAAACTATCATTTATTTAGCAGTATACCTTGGGTAGCTTTTCAGGTGTTATATGAAGAGCAACATCACTCCTCTCAAGGGTTACAGGTTTCACACACTGCATAGGTAGATTTACCACAAAGCATTGAATCAGTCCCATAGTGTAATGGGTCATTAGTAATTGTACCTGGGCACTATTAGAAACTATCTTGACACTCTTTTACATGTATTGCACTATTGGACACAATTATCTCTGGTGTATATTCTTAGAAACACTTAGGACCACAGAATGTGAACGTTGAAAACTTTGCTGGCTATTTTTATTTTATGTGTTTGTGTCTTTGCCTGCATATATCTCTGGGTGCATGCAGCACCGAGACCTGAAGTTACAGGTGATTGTTAACTGCCGTGTGGGTGCTGGGACTGAACCTTGGACTTCTGCAAGAACAATCAGTGCTCTTAACTGCCAGGGCATCTCTCTAGCCCTTTACTAGCTATTTTTAAAGTGTCCTTCAAAACATCTGCATGATGGGGCTGGAGAGATGACTCCACAGTTAAGAGCACTAGCTACTCTTCCAGAGGACGTGGGTTCGATTTTCAGTACCCCACATGGCAGCTCACAATTGTCTGTAACTCTAGTTCCAAGGGGATCCAACAACCTTACATGGATGAATGTAGGCAAAACACCAATGCACATTTAAAAAAAAATCTACAGAGTAAGATCCAGGACATCACAGAGAAACCCTGTCTCTAACCAAAACAAACAACCAAAACAGCAAAAACAAACGAAATCTGCATGAATGGAGACAGCAGCTCAGAGTACCAACCACTGTTTCAGAATTTTTTTCCTTTGATTTTGCTTTTGTTTTTCTGAGGTAGGATTTCCCTGTGTAGCCCTGCTTGTCCTGGAACTCATACCGTAGACCAGGCTGGCTTCGAACTTACAGAGATCTGCCTGCCTCTACTTCTCAGAGTGCTGGAACTAAAGGCATGTGCCTTCATGCCCACCTAGGAGTGAAGTTCTCTGCCTTGCTTGTTCTGTTATGAACTGTTTTGCTGTCCTCCTTGGATTCACCTACACCTAGCATCATTGCTTGGGTTTTATTGTGCTGGACTGAGTTTCACTGTAGGAATGGCAGGGCAGTTCTTGCCTCAGGGGTAAAACAGGCTCTGTGGGGCTCACACTGTAATTTTGGGAGTGGAAGGCCCTTGTGTGGAACGACACTCAGAGCAGTCAGAGGTGCTTCTCTCTTTTTATCTCGTAAGCATGTTCTGACCTCCTCCACCTGCCATTTGCTTCTTCATTTGGAAAGCTGTGGTGTTTGTTTCCCAAACACAAACTCAGACCTTTCAGAAGATGTCGGTAGTCAACAGTCTTGTCAGTCTGAAGATGAAGTACCTCACAGTTAGATCCTCACAGTAGATCCCAGAAGGCTTTGCACAAAGGGTAGGACTCCAGGCCTCCTGGCTCCCTTGCTTGACCGACCGGCTCTCTTTCTCCCCAGGACTCTTCTCAGGGGAGCTCCCAGAGTGCACACAGGAGCTGATGATTGACGTCACCAAGAGCTACTACCAGAAGTTTCTACCCCTAACACAAGTCTAATATCTCTGCTTTATATCTTGAATTCTTTTGACTTCTACGATGAACTTGGAGATAAAGCGAGCAGACAGTAACTACAAGAGCTACCATGTTTTTGACAACATCTACTCTCCTTGATTTTTGGTTCCTTTTTTTTTTAATTATTTAAAATTTTCAGTTCTCCAAGGCTCTGAGCATTTAAGAATTTAATAAGAAGACTGGAGAGGTGGCCCTGTGGTTAAGAGTACTGGCTGCTCTTCCAGAGGACCCAGGTTCAGTTCCCAGCACCCACTTGGCACCTTACAACCATCTATAATTCCAGTTTCAGGTGATCTGATGGGTTTCTGGCCTTCCTGGGCGCCAGATATATATGTGGTACAGACATATATGCAGCCAAAACATCCCTTAACATCAAATAATGAACTCTTTAAAAATAATTTTAATAAGAGAACGTCTGGAGTTGTCTCTGCATGCTGTGCTTACACCTGCTATGTCACCAGTCATTGTACCATTGTCTGAGAAGGGCAGAAAGGTCTGTTCCCAACACTCCAGCCCTATGGGCCTGCAGAGCAATAGCACCCTCCCAGCCTAGGGTCACATGACCAAGGTGCTGCTCACAACCATGTTCTACCCCTACTCCACACCACCACACAGATTACATTCATCTATCCTGCTGCTAACATGGGACTGGCAGCCACAATTTCTTGTACCCTGGGGAAAGTGTTTGTGGCTGTTAAAACGTGGGGGACAGAGACGGGCTGTAGTGACACATACCTGCCACCCTAGCACCTGTGGAGCAGAGGCAGGAGGACTGACAGCTGCATGGTGAGCTCACACTTGCCTGGTTTTCTACTTGAGACCCTGCTTCAAAACAACAAAAACAGATCAGGAAAAGAAAACATAAAGAGCAGGTGGTAGCTGTTCTTTATTTCAGAGAGACCTTAGCTGTCCTAAAGTAGTTAATAAAGATATAAAACATCCTGTTTTAGGCTCATTTATTTACAGAGGGGGAACCTACACTGCAGACTTTGCTTCTGCAGAATTCAGGGTTTAGGTGTGGATTGCTTAGTCAGGTCCTCATTCCTCATGTCAAGGTTTACTTCACCAGAAACAAGCTTCTGTGAACCTTGCTCTTTAGCCTAGAAACATTTGTCTCAACTGGTATATATAAAGGGGATTTAGTATAGGAATGACTAATCCAACTAGTCCAAACAGTGGATATCTACCAATGGAAGGTCTAAGAATCCAGAAGTTGCTCGGTCTGTGAGGCTGGATTTCTCAGTTGGTTTTCAGTATCCTCTGGAATCCTGAAGAAGTCCGCTCTAATTCCAGTGAAGGAATGGACTTGCCGCTGGGAGTGAGAGCAAGCAAGCAAAGAGAGAATGCTTTCTTATTCCATGCTCTTTATAGAGGCTGCTAGCTGAATGTATAGCCCAGATTAAAAGGTGGATGGATCTTCCTACCTCAAAGAGGGATTAGAAGTGGGTCTTCCCACTTCAAATGGTTTAATTAAGAAAAAAAAATCCCTCACAGATGTACCTAGCCATTTGGGTTTTAGTTAATTCTAGATGTAATAAAGTTGACAACCTAGAGTAGCCGTCACATTCCCCTAACAGTGCAGGGATACACAAGTAAGTGGCTGAGCTACCTGATGTTATCAGGTATCCTGCTTGTTACCTTTCAACATTTAGCCATAAGGGAGCCTGTAAACTTAATCTCCATTTGGGTGGCCAAACTTGAGGTGACAGTTCGTGTCATGAATCTCACTGTAAGCATTGCAGCTCGCATGGAAAGGGATCCTGGCAGTCGGGAGACAAGGAATACTGAGTGTTACAGCTCCGGTTCAAGAGTATTGAGCCGGTCTAGAGCCAGGGAATAGCATCACAGGGTGGCAATTTACAGCCCTGCTCTAGGGAAGGGTTTCCCGGTGGTAACAGCTCTGCTCCAGCAGGCAGGAGAGGGCTTTGGCTTTGGTGCCCTGGGCTAGGGCTCCGCAGTGTAACAGGTCCACTCTGCTAGGGCGAGGTTTGTGTGAAAGTGTTACACCCCTGCTCTGCTTGCCTCTGGCTTCCCCAGTGAAGTTGTAACAATTTGGTGCTGCTAGGGGAAGGCTTCTCCAGTGAAAGTGTTACAGCCCTGCCCCATGCACTCTAAGCGGCTAAAGAAGGTCTTCACCCAAACATCATTCAAGAGATTTATTGGGAGGGAAGATTCCAGGAGAGAGACGGCCACTACCAGAGTGGAAAAAGGGCAGCCACAAACTGAGCAGGCACAGGGTTTATATAGGGCTTCTTAGGGGTGGACTTTTTCCTGGAAGAAGATTTTCATGGTTGCAATTGGTCAGATTGGCTGGATTTCTGCTCAGGTGATCAGGGGCAGATTTGACTCTGGTTTCAGGGCCAAGGTGTGTTTCTTTCACTAGCCCTTTTTAACCGTTTGGCTCTAATTTCAGGGCCAGGGCATATTTCTTTAACTGACTCTGATTCTGTGGCCAAAGTGGGTTTTTGTTTATTTGTTTGTTTTTTTGGTGTGGTTTTTTTTTTTGTTGTTTTGTTTTGGCATTGGCTTCAGGGTCAGGGTGTGTTTCTTTGGTTCTGGGTTGGGGCTAAAGTATTTCTTATACTGGCTCTGGTCTCAGAGCCAGGGTGTTTTTCTTTCACTGGCTCTGGTTTCAGAGCCAGGGATGTGTGTGTGTGTGTGTGTGTGTGTGTTTCCCCCACTGGCTCTGGTTTCAGAACCCGGGTGGGTTTCTTTGGCCTCACAGTGACCTAGGCTAGAAAGGACTTTCTGATATTAAAGAGACATAAGTAGACAGTAAGCAGACTTGAGCAAACCTCTGTGTTTGCTTTGTTTTTCTTTTACTGCAAGTGAGATTTCTCTGTACATTTGGGATATGACAAGTTACAGCTCTAGACTACTACCATTGTGTCCCAGAGACACTCCAGTTTTAGCCTGACAAATCCCAAAGAGAATGCTTAATGCTTTATATATGTGAGATCTGTGCCCTTTGAATCATTGTGTCTGGCTCTGTGATTGACCCAGTCAGGGTCATCACCTTTCCTCCCTCACCCTAGTTTGAGAAATGGAGCCTGTTGCCAAATCAATGTGCCAAGAAGACAAAAACAGTCCCCACTATGAATAGTAGCAACTTTGTAATTATGTGCTGATAATATTTGAGAGTATACTTAACGGTCATGAGTATGTATCCTAGGAAAGGCCAGCTGGACTCTGTCTCCATGGTGGCTCTCACCCTAGGGACAGCTTGCCACTAGGCAATTATAATTCCAGAGAAGAAAAACTCTTTGTTGGTGGAATATCAGAAGAGAAGATAGATGGCAAAGACTTTTCCAGCTGCAGAGAGGAAGAGAAAGGACTTGGGTTTCTGTTTCTGAGAAAGCCAGGCCTCAGTTGAACTTCAGGCTAGATTCCAAGACCAAAATGTCACAAGGACCTGCCTGGCTCCTGCCTGTTTTCCTTTGAGATGGTTCTTTTATCTGTCTGTCTGTCTGTCTTTCTTGAAACACAGTCTCTCTATGTAACCCTGGCTGTCATGGAACTCACTATGGTCCAAGATAGACCAGGTTGGCTTCAACTCCCAGAATACTGCCTCTGCCTCCTAGGATTAAAGGTGTGTGCCATCATGCCTTATTTTCAGATACCATAGTACGACCCCCCTCCCACACACACACATAGCTTTTTTTTTTTTTTTTTTTTGTGGGGCAGGGATTGAGACAGTTTTTCTGTAGCTTTGGCGCCTGTCCTGGACTCACTCTGCCTCCCGAGTGCTGGGATTAAAGGCATGTACCACCACCACCCAGCACACACAGCTTTTGGTATTGGTAGAAAGAGCTCCCCTTTGCTAAAAAGCCCCTGGGTTTGGTTCTCATTGGTCCAGATCAGAGAGATGTCCAGACTCAAGTCATCATTATAGCTAAGAAGTGACACACGGAATGAGAGTTAATGGCTGGTAGTTCCCAATGATTCTAACTACCACAGAGGGAATAACTATGTCTGGGCAGGGAAAATCATCAGGTGTCTGGTGCAGGCCTCTTCCTTTCCCCAGATGTCTTCACCCTCCCCTGATCAGTCCCCATCCACACTTAACCTACTCCCTCATTACTCTTGGTCCCAAAGGACATTTTGTTTTGTTTTTCAAGGCAGGGTTTCCCTGTGTATAGCTTTGGAACCTGTCCTGGAACTCACTCTGTAGACCAGGCTGGCCTCAAATTTAGAGATCCACCTGCCTCTGCCTCCCCAAGTGCTGGGATTAAAGGTGTGTGCCACCACCGCCCAGACCAAAGGACAGTTTATAAGGGCCCTGAAGGGGGATCTGGGCCCAGACTAGGGGCAAAGGGAAATATGTTTAGCTCGAGTAGGTGTGGTCAACAAAGAGCCATTCCAAAGATGCTTTTCTGTTAGGAACTGCGGAACTGCTTTCTTCTGTCCCCAGCCAGTCATCTAGGTAGAAGTCTAGTTCTGTACCTCTATTTCTTAAGGAAGTAGGAGTAAGCTCCTGGGTTACCCAGTACTTATATAGTAGATGCTTACCTGAATATGAGCCATACTCTTCCCATCCCTACTCCTGTCCAGATAAGTTTCACATTGCAGGGTTCCAAGGGATTGGGAACAAGATAGAATAATTGACCTGTAAGGTTCTATTGTCCCATTCTGTTTTATAGTTATCCAGAGCCTTTGTGGTTGGTTGGGGCTGGCTAGTGGCTTCTGAATGAATCACTTATACCTCAGTCAGTTCTCTTAGAACCCAGGGCTATAGTTCCTTTCCTGGTCATTGACATATCTAGGCAATGGTAGGTTTGGAATTAATCAGACAACTATTTGTCCTACTTAGCACATCCTTAGAATATTAGCCATAATGAAGAGGTCTTGGCAATTAGAAATGTCTTTCTTGGCATACCACCATGGCCTATAAGAGCCCAGAGGGTGTTTTCCAGCCATGTTCCGGCTAGCATCAGCCACCCGCCAGGACAAACTGGCTTCTATAGATGAGCTGATAGCTATAAGGCTGTTAAAATAGCACTGGCAGTGCTGGGGCAGTTGGTAACTGGTCTCAGCAAAATGCCCTGTCACCTTGGACAAGCTGTCATAGTCCATGCTCACTGAAACACAGAAACCTAGCAACAGCATTGTGGTTCTCATAACTTGTGTGCTTGTCATCCATTAGCATCGGAAGGTGGGACCCTGACCACATGCTGTGTAGCAGAAGACAGCACCAGGCACCCACCTACTCATTTAAATACTTACTGAGCCCACTCAGAGAACCAGGCCCTGCACTGGAGAGTAACAGGCAATCAGTCCTTGCTCCTAGGGACCGAACAGCTTAGTCAGGGGAGAAAGCCATGAAACAAACTAGAGTTCCCCGGTAGAGGTCTGATTTTGGCAGTTGTGAAGTGTGGGTGCCGAGGTGGGAATGTCAGCTCCCACTCTGCCACATACTAACCCTGTTATCTGACCCCTTGGAACCTCCAATCTTTGATCTGTAAAGCAAGAAGGGTCGGGTAGTTTGAGGACTTCAGTTCCTTCACACATGTAAAGCCCTGGATCTCAGTGAGCACACCATAAACAGCACTGTCTTTCAAAAGCGCAAGACCCTGAGTAGGAACCCTGTCGTTAAAAGCACAGCTTCTGACACATTTTAGGTTTATAGTGAGATTAAGCAAATTTTACCTTTATAATCAGACTACCACAAAAAAGAGACGGGAGGGGGAATATCATTTACAAAAAAGTTTTATTTATTATGTACACAGTATTCTGCCTCTAGCAGACCAGAAGAGGGCATCAGATCTCATTATGAGATGTGGTTGCTGGGAATTGAACTCAGGACCTCAGGAAGAGCAGTCAGTGCTCTTAAACACTGGGCCATCTCCTCTCCAGCCTGGAAAAATCATTCTTATTTTTGCATCTATGGAATGCCAGGCACTCAGCAGAAAACATTTAATCCTTTTAACTTTCAACAAAGTAAGGA